AAGTTTGAGCTACGGGGCTGGGAGTTGGCACAGGTGGTAAGTGAGCATGTTGATTACGAATATAACACTGACAGGGCCGGGCGGAGCTTTGACAGCTAGTACTTTATAAGCCTTCGAATTTGTATGCAATATCCGTTGGTAAGTGAAACTCACATCATCGGACGGTCCATAAAAGTAAATTTGTCTTTTCGGTAGGTCCTTTTGCGACAGCATTCGATAGTAAGCGTAGCATTTTTCGTAAATATCATTCTCCATAAAAGACCATATCCATATTAACCCGCTGTAAAATGCTCTTCATACGTCAAATGAAGAAGGTCATAATACCCGTGACTTTACGTATGTATTTGATGATCAAAAGTATTCATCAAAAAAATAAAGACCAAATTCGTCGAAATAGGTGAGATGGCAGAAAAAGAATGAAAATGACTTATGAGCAGTCTTCTCATATTTCCCACAAATTTGCTGACATAAAGCTCTTCACATGATTGGATTTGGAGTTTCTAAGGTTGCTTAGCAAGAAGACTTACTTATGTATGGAAAAGTAAGCATAGAGCAGAGCCCTATAGCTTTCTCTAAATATAGCATGACATCGTTGAGGAGGCATCGAAGCAAAAGAGATCGCATGGGCATTTTGAGCAGGAGTCGTGAAGGCTGGTGAGCTGAAAATTACCTTTAGAGGTCAAAATGGGCTGTGTAACCGACCCGCGATCTTCGAGTCTTGTGTTTGTATTTTCAAAAATCATTTAGAATTGTCCCCACCTGTCAAAAAGCAGTCCCTGAACACGTTGCTTGAATTCATCTCCGTCTTTGCGACTGTCGAGTAGGTCCCACAAAGCAGTGAATGTAGAACAGCCGTTCATAGAAAAGCAGTGGAAGTACACGTATGGAGGAATAGTCAAGTCGTCCCTTTCGAAGACTTCACGATAGAATTTTTTCGCAAAGTGATGATAGGATTGGTAGCCGCGCACTTTACGGATCGGTGTGGTAAAGCGGATCGTGGAGATGCTGTAAAGTACTCCATTGAAAAATACAAATAATTTCAGGGTATTGCATGTTTGAAGCCTATATTTATCCTAACACAAGTAATCTATAGGAGAACGTGCTGATACATAGTGCAGCCGCTATCTCGGATAAAAAAGATGGACTATGGCGTATCAATCTTACAAAATTGCCGAGATCTCATAATTAGATTCAAAATGATTTTCATGAGATCGAACAGTGCTCTTTGGAATGCCAGTGATATACTTATTTAAA